AAATGGAAAAAACAAATAAAAAAACCACACAGAAAAGCCTCAAGTGACTGGCAGAAAGCAAAAGTGGTTCTTCCTAATCTTTATCCTAAAACAGGGGTTAGCAAATTGCTTGTGAAAAAACACAAAGTAAAAATATTTGGGCCATATGGTTTTCTTGTTGCAACTATTCACTCATTCCATATTATCATAGCACAGAAACAGCCACAGATAATACATAAATCTATGTTGTTGATGTTATGTGCCATCGAGTCAGACCCGACTCATAGTGACCCCTCCTTGGGTTTCCAAGGCAGTATCACCACGGAAGTAGATTGCTCCATCTTCCTTCTGAGGAGTGGCAGGTGGGTTTGAACCGCCAGCCTTCTGGTTAGCAGTCAAGTACCTTAGGCACTATGCTACCAGAGCTCCCACACAAATCTATAGTTGTTGTTATTAGGTGCCGTGGAGTCTGTTTTGACTCATAATATCCCTATGTACATCAGAACCAAACACTGCCTGGTGCTCTGTCATCGTCACAATCTTTCCTATGCTTGTGCCCATTGTCACTGCCACTGTGCCATACAGTGGCTGTATTTGAATAAAACTTTATTTGTGAACAAAGAAATTTCAATTTCATATAATTATAAAATGTCATGAAGTATTATTCTTCTATTGATCTTTTCTCAATCATTTAAAATGTGAAAACCATTTTTAAAATTCTGGCTGTACAAAAAATAGGCTGCAGGCTAGATTTGGACTGGCCAGTTTGTCAACTTCAACCTCAAAGGAATGAGACAGTTAAGTGGGTTTTGCCTATCAATGTAAAAGGAAGTAGAAACAATAGAAAATATCAACAAAGTCAGTAATTAACAGATCATGTGCTATCAATAAACTTAAAAGAAAAACTGCTAAGTAAACTGAAAGCTCCATTATTCATCTATAAAAAACCCAGATATGATAATAACTAGGTATTCTGGGGAAATTAAAATACATCAAAGAGATTTAATCTGTACTGAAATGGGAGAATGGTCTAATTACTTACAATATACTCACTTTAATATCAATTTAAATATTTGTAATTCTTACAGATGGATAATAATTTAAAAAGTTTCAAAATAATATGGACTATAACATAAATAAATATTCATTTTCAGTATTGGTAAGAATATAACTTTTTTGGAAGGCAATTTGGTGAAATCCTTCAAAATTCAAAACATTCTCTGACATTCATTTTCTACAAATTAACAAACACAATTACACAAGATATCTATGGAGAAGAATATTCACTGTATTATTTGTGATTGCTAAAAACTGCAAATAATCTAAACATCCATCAATAGGGAAATAGTTAAAGAAATTACAGTACATCCACATGACATACTACTTACTAACAACATAGTCAATAAAATATCTGAAGCAATCTGTATACATATTATGAAATGACAGCTTATTAAATGAAAGCAAAAGCAAGTTGTCAAGTAGTGGGTATATATTATAAAACTCTCACTGCAGTTTAGTCAGATCCAATTCATAGCGACCCCTCCTTGGGTTTCCGAGGAGGTATCATTACGGAAGTAGATTGCCCAACCTTCCTTACGAGGAGTGGCTGGTGAGTTTGAACAGCCAGCTTTCTGGTTAGCAGTCAAATGCCTTAGGCACTACACCACCAGAGCGCCTATGTATTATAAACTTCGATCTACACACATACACACAGAATTTCATATGGTTAAAAAATACTAAATGCATACCAAACTCTCAACAATGGCTTCCCCTGAAGAATGACTGTAGAAAAGCAGAAACAGAAGATGTAACATTTTATGTCAAGTTATTTTATATGGCTTTTTTTAAAAAAATGGTAGTGGTAATGCCAGCAAGAACTGTTACATTAAATGCAATCAATGTCATGAAACAAAATGTGTATGAACTGTTGTATGGAAAATAAATTTGCTCTGTACACTTTCACACAAATCACAATTAAAAAAAAATAAAAAAGATAATCTAATATTAGAAGAAACAGAAAACTCCTGTTAGTATTGATCTACATAATAAAAGTCCTATCTTTAGACTCAACTGAGGGAGGTTAATTAAGAAAATCCATAATTATAAGGGTGCATAGTAAATGCTGTAACAAAAATTAGCACAAGATACTAGAGAAACTCAGAGAAAGTGAATCTAAAACATTCTTTATTTTTCCTTTTTTAAATTTTTTTTATTGTGCTTTAGGCCCAAGTTTATAGAGCAGAGTTTTACATTCAACACTTCATGTGCATTTGGCTTCACTCCCCAATTACCATAATTACCATCCCCAACCCTAACCCACTCTCCTCCTCTCCCTGCCCACTATCCCCCCCACCCTGTGCCCCTCATAGTTATGCACTCCTGTGTGTCCTGCATTTCCTCTGTGTGAATGTTGCCCCTCTGGTGGCCCGAGGTCGATTGCTCCAAGGGATGCATCTCCATAGAGTATGTGGGTACACCACCCTAGGTTGAGTGGTTTGCATGTACATCTTATTTACTATCGGGCTAAGAGCCAGACCCTGGGAGTGAGTTTCATTCCAGGCCCTAACTGTATCCCAGGGCCATAGTATTGCGGGTTCCACCAGACACCATCCGACCAGTAATTCTGGTCAGTATCGTGTTTTTAGATTTTGTTCCACGTTTTTCCCCTCACTCTATCCAGGATCTCCAGTTTTGATCCTTTCCTGAGTGCTTGGCCTTGGTAGCCGGGCACCATCTAGTTCTGGTCTCGAGGCCCATCATGTCCTAGGGCTGACTGCTTCAAAATGTACTGATTTTTTTGTGCACTCCTCTTTGCTTGTGACGATAGGAGACCATTAGCTGCATCTTAGATGGCTGCTTGAAAGCTTGTAAGACCCCAGTTGCTACTCATCAATGTAGGCTGTGGAACAAGATTTTTAATGTATTTTATTGTGCCAATTGAGTCTGGTGTCCCCCAATCCCATGGTCCTGAGTTGGTAGATCCATTGGATCTCTCCCACAGTGTCTGGCAGTCTGTGAGGGATTGCTTTCCGTCTGTCTTCTATCGTTTCAGGAAGGATTGCGGGTATTTTATATCACTGGTGGTTAGAAACACACTGGATCTTAAAGCACAAATGGTGTATGCACATGGGAGCACTATGTTTCTGGCCAAGGACAGAACATCTGTGAAGACATGAAGTTCTGAGAAAGCACTGGGTATTGAAAACCACAAATAGCAGTATCAATGAATAACAGACTCTTCATATTATTATAGTACATGATGTTCATTTAAATATTTATTCAGCACCTTCTAAGTGCCAGATGCTGTGGTAAGCCTACGTATTCATCAAAATAAATATTTAATTGGAACCTACAATTTTGGGGAAAAAAAATGAAGTTAAGATAAGACAGAAAATAGGAGAGAGGCAACTACAGGGAAGAAGTGGGAACAGAACTGTTCACTGTGGGGAATTGCAGTCGAAGTCAGGAAACAAAATCTACAAACTGCTGCAAGGAAAATGGGTTTGCTCTGTAAACTTTCACCCAAATCACAATAAAAATTAAAAAAAAAAAAAAAAATCCCTGAAGGACTATTATCTAATCTCTACTGGAAGAGTCCAATGACAGAGAGTTTACAACCTTGGGGCCACCCCTTCCATTGTTGGAAAGCTCTTACTGGTTTTTAAAATAAAAATCTTTATATTGAAAAAAAGGAAATAACAAGGAGAAAGTTGACTTAGACTGGTCAGGGAAGGCCTTAGTGAGAGGGGAATACTTAAACTGAAGCCAAAGTATAAAGAAGCACCAACCAACCAAAGAGTATGGGGGAGAGTCAAGTATTGATAAAGAGCAGTTTCAGTCAAAGAGAACAGCATGGTCAACATTCCAGAATTATGAAATAAACAATTCTATCAGAAGAACTGAAAGACAGCTGATATAGCAGAGTCTAGCAGATAAAGGAAGTGGAGTCAAACAGGATGGATATGGTGATAAGAAGAGATAATAAAAGATCCAGCAGGTCAGTGTAAGGTCAGTATTTTATGTGAAATATGACAGGCAGGCATTTATAATTATTTCAAAGGTAAAAATGCCAAGTTTGCCTATCTGTTTTTAAAAGATTATACTGCTGTGTAGAGACTCAAACTGAAACGGACAAGTAAAGAATTACAATGTTGTTGTTGTTATGTGCCGTCAAGTCGGCCCTGACTCATAGCGACCCCTCCTTGGGTTTCCGAGGCAGTATCACTACGGAAGTAGGATTGCCCAACCTTCCTTCCGAGGAGTGGCTGGTGGGTTTGAACTGCCAGCCTTCTAGTTAGCAGTCAAGTGCTTTAGCCATTATGCTACCAGAGCTCCTCCCAGAATTACAATAGTCTAGTCAAAAAATGTTGGCATGGACAAGGGTGGTAGTAGTAGAGACTGAGAAAAACATAGTTTTAAGATATATTCTTTGAGGTAGAAACAATGGAACAGGTTGATTGAAGAGGTAATTGAGGAGGGGGACAGGAATGAAAAGAATCAAAGATGACAGATTAAATCAGGAAAATAAATCACAACTCTGTCACAACTAACACTGAGTTTTATATCAGATATTATACTAGCAAAAGTGTTCAATCAGAATGCTTTACATTTTCAAATACTGTTCATCTCAATGCTCTAGTAAAATCAGCTGAAAGAGTGAATACTCAAGTTTCAAAACAATGAAATATTAGGAAAATACCACTTTAAAACCACAACAGCAATACACATACCTAAAAGTATGATTTTTCCAGGAAATAACTCTTAAATCATTCAATAAAATTTATTGAATGTCTACTATCTGTCACTCAGTGAATTAAATGAAAATAAGAAAATAATTCCATGCAACCTTCTGAAAAATACTCCACTCATTTTCTATGTACTATATCACAATTATTTGCAGAAATCATTTTAAGAATTCTAGTTAAACATCACACAGGATGGTTTTATCTTACACTTTACTCAAATTCAAAACAAATACATTCCAAGATGATATTTTTAAAAGATAATTATTTCATACATACCTTTTGAAGGTTGTTTCAGAGATTCACAAAGTTTAGTCCATGACTGCTGTTGTACAACCTCCTCATGTAATGGGTTGACAGATGTAGTTTTATTTTCCTCTAAACTCTGTGTAATTTCAGTATCAGATATACTTACTGTTGTACAATTTTGAAACTGAGAACGAGTCTGTGAATTCTTCATCTTGGTGAATTTATACTTTGGAAATGTAATTGTTTTCTTATGATCAGTCTTAGTTCCATCTGTTATTGTCCTATGAGATAGATGCTGAGTGCTCAAGCTCTTGTTAGTAGCAGGAGTTTCTGTACTCATATGACGTGAACTCACATTCACACCTGAACCTCCTGCAAGAGTCAAGTTGGAACTATTCACTTGTATTGGAACATTAGTGTTATTCCAAGAGACGTGTAGATTATTGACTTTATCATTTGAGTTCTTAGAATACATAGTCAAATTTGTCGTGGCAACTAAAATACCTGGAGAATTTCTACACGATTCTCCTTTCTCCCTCTTCATTGATTTATCTATTGGTAAGCTATTTGTCAATGAAGATGTTTGCACTGTAATGCTACCCAGATTCAAATGCTTTGATTGCACCAATTGATGTCCTTGCTTAGATGTAGTAAACATGTTTTTACCTCCATATTTGGAACTATTATTAATCTCAACTGTATTTTCTGATGTCACACTTTCATTTCTAATGTCTTGTTGCTGAGTTAGTCTTTCAATATCATCACATGCTTGGTATAACAAATCATCATCTACATCATCTGTTTCCCAGGTATTCTCTAATTGATGACATGCTTGAATAATTTCATTGGCAAATGATGGATCATTCCAGTCATCCAGGAATGGACCTATATTTGGTGCATGAGTCTGATTTGGCTTACTAGATTTGCTTTCATTGGCTGGAGTTGTAGAGCCAAAAAGATCTTTTTTATTAGCAGGTGTCCTAACAGGCTTGTATTTTTGTTCACTAAAATATCCTGTGGTCAAAGCAAATTTTGTTTCAGAAGCACTTACAGTAGGAATAAATTTAGTATGAATATCTTCCTTCATTTTTGTTACATTAGATGTAAGTGCACAATCTTGAATTTTATCTTGAATACTTCTTCTATTTAAAGGTTTCTCACATTTCATTTTATTTCCAGTGAGTAACTGGTTTGGTTTGTCATTTGGAGCTGGCAAAAATTTATGTTTTTCCACATCCATTAGTTCACTGTAATATGTCTTTGAAGAAAGATCTTGTACAATTTTTGAATCACTTGGCCTGGCATCTAGACTTGTATTTGTTCTTGGCTTACTTTTACCATTTTTACTGCTAAAAGTATAAACACCCTTGTGAGCACCACCATGAGTTATTTTAGGCACAGGGAGCAGTTCAGGCATTTCCACACTTTGCATCATAAAAGGCTCATTTCTGAGTAGTTTTTCCCAATCCTCCTCAAAATCACTGGTAACAAATGGATCAATATGCTTGTTAAAAATTTCTGGCTCCTTAGTACAGGAAGTGACATATGATTTTGACATTATGGGAACATCTACTTGAGAAAAAAGTGACTCTGGGGTTTTATTTTGCAGTTTTACAGTGACCGGAGTTTCATTAGTAATGATTTTCTCCTCTTTCGAAGTAATTTTTTTTCCAAAGGTAGTGTTACTGGTGTTCAAATAAGCATCTGACAGATCTTGACTTATCTGTCCACTACATTTCTGAGTGGAGCCATCAAAAATGGCATTATACGCTGCTTCAACATTTTGGTCAAATGATTTGTGACTGCTATTGTGATCATTTGCCATAGCTATCTTGGTGTTTTCAGTCATTGGCTTCTTTATCATAGCTGACTCCATTTTGATTGTATGACATAGTGACTGTATCTGTACATTATCTTCATAATCATTTAAAGGGTCTGTTTCTGAAATCATCTGGGTAATATCATGATTCCTATCATTTTGCTCTTGAATCACATCCAGTTCTTCCATATTTTTATCAAATTGCTTTGCCAACTTCATAAGTTCTTCTTCTTGATTTTGTGTTTTTAACCTATTAAATATTCAAAAAATTAGTTAATTATTTATAATTATAAATGTTCTAAGAACCATTATAAACATTCAATTGTTATTTAACATACTGTGATGTATTAAAACATACAAACTTTAACACAATCATTATTCTGATATTTTGTATGTCAGAGCTAAGGGAAGGATTTACTAGTCATTATAATACAATCATAAAAACTAAAATAAAATACTATTAAAAATACTTGCTTTACTAATCTCAGAAAAGCAGAAAAGTGTGAACTTACTTAGTGCAGCTGATTTTTGCTCTTAATTTCCCTTTGGCTACACAGGGAGTACAAGGAATAGCAGTTTCACCAATCCACATGCCCAGCATGGAGTTTGTTGTTGGTTTTTCATCCTTTGGCAGAAGGGTAAAAGATGTTCAAAAGCACACACACAAAAAAAGGTAGAAAGAAACGAAAATAAACTTCAACTACTTTGAATTTTTTCCCAGAGCAATGGATTCTGGTGAAGTGTTACCAACAAACTCAAAACCAATGAGAAGTTGGGGGTTGTCAATAATAAGATGTAAGAAGTGAGCCATTTATGTTGTAAGAAAAGAGTAACATTTAGAATTAGGAATTATTTTTTAAAATTTAAAGTTTTAAAACTTACTTATCAAATACTTATTTAAAACTAAAAGCTCATGTTTTATCTAAAAAAATTGAGTAACTTACTTCAATTTTCGTAAGATATTTATAAAAATAAACATCAGTATCAGGAATAAACAAACTGCATGGCACAAGTCATGAAAATTGAGAATAAAAGGAGATACATATGGAATACTTTCTGTATCATCCAATTCTCCAAATCTTCCCCTTCCCCATTATGATCTCTATCTAAAAGCGAACAACTCATGTTAGACTGAAATGAGAACGTTTAAATGGAATTAAGGTCTGGAATGAAGAGTAATAGCAAGGTTAGAACTGATGCTAAGAAAAAGGGATAAGAACAAAACTAAGTAGAGAAAGCAACAAAAGAAGTTCAACCAGGATAAAAGCAAGGAAAAGGCCCTTTCAGTCCTGAATATTTTTACTACACCTTTCAGTCACTCAATCACGTAACAATTTGAGAATGAGCTTAGGTAACAACCAAAATAACAAATCAAATAAGAAACACATTTTCTACTCTATTTCTTTACTACTTAGAACACACAAATAACAACACAAGATAGGAATAATCTAAAACCTAGACTATAGGTTACTTGAAGGCAAGGACTTTTAAAATATCTTAGCATCTAGTACAATAAGGAAAACATCAATTCAAGTTTATTTACTAAGTTTAGGTGAAAAGAGTCGGTAACTTACTACCTTAAAATCCTAAGCCAATCAACTAGCCAATTTTTTAGATGCCCATTAGTACCTACTTGATTTTAGCTTTCTAAAATGTTCAACAGCATAGTGCCTAAGGCACTTGACTGCTCACCAGAAGGCTGGCGGTTCAAACCCACCAGCCACTCCTTGGAAGGAAGGTTGGGCAATCCTACTTCCGTAGTGATACTGCCTTGGAAACCCAAGGAGGGGTAGCTATGAGTCGGGGCCAACTCGACGGCAAACAATAACAACAACAAAAAAATGTTCAACACAATCAGTAATTTCACTTTCAGACTCTATATAATTTTATCTTTTTTGTTCAAATTATGAATTTAAGGAAAACGCATTCTTTAAAATTTAATTATGAACTTCTGCCCATTTAGCAAGTAATTTTAAATTCATTTACTTTTCAGGGAATTAAATTATGACAACTTTATAATGTCCAAATTTATATATACATGCATCCTATGTACATATACTATTTTAAGTGTTATATTTCTTAAATTTCATTACTAAAAATTGTAACATTGATTCCCATTATATTTCAAATGCTGTACATGATATCTAAACACATTACTTCATTTAATTCTAAAGAGTACATTGTATAAAACTGTATTAATTTGATACAAAGATATATAACACATTCAAACAACACTGTATAAAAAGTACTGCTGAAGAAAGTGTAATGGCTGGCAACTGGAATGGGGGTGGCACATTAAAGATATGTCATCTCTGAAAACATTAAGGGAAAGTTAAATAATTTGAAGAGAATAGCTCACATAAAAATACATGGATATCTTTTCATGTTAAGGACAAATTCTGAGAATATTGTAAGCTTTTCAACAGATATTCATACTGCAAAAGATTTATATGCTTTTGTAAAATGCTCAGTTGAAGAGGCTGATATTAAAAACCAAACTAATTTCACTTAATTTTTTGTTTCATACAAGCTATCACTTGCATACTATTACCATTTCTTTATATAATTTCCAGCCCGTTTAGGTAAAGGATCCAATAATTTACTCAACTATCTTTCTATCACTACATAAGCTGGCTAGTCCAAACACATTTTATTTGCTTGTTTCATGAGAAACTCCCTATTAACGAAGATCTATTGTTAACTTCTAATGTAAGTAGTATTACGGCATAAATGCTATTTAACAAATTAACTCTATATAAAATTAATTTCTATGACATGCCAAACATGGAATGTAGAGCTAGTAGCAACAGATTTGTTTTGATTGTGCTAGTTGTTTGACTTGAAGATATATTACCCATTTTAATCCTCATAATACTTTGAGGAAAGCAGGACAAGTAATAATTCTATTATATGGCTGAGTAAATTGAGATTCTGAGAGTTTAAATGATTTGACAAAAGGCACTTAACACAGAAGATTCAGAATTAATTCCAAATTCAACATTCTTTCCACTTTTACATGTGTTTCTTGATCTTAAAAGTAAATGAGTGTTAAGAGCTGTCTAAATGAGAAAAGGTAAAATATGGATAACAAGCAAATTTCAATCCCAAAAATATCTCAGAAGTTTAACTGTCTTATTCATAACTTTCAATAACTTGAAAAGCAATGCCACATATTTACATATAACTTTAAAAACAAATTAAACACAAAACTTAGTCAAAATCACTAAAAACATTCAAACCAACATATATATAGGAAAACATGTATTACCAATTTTATATTACATTCCTTTTCTTCAAAATTGTGCATTTTAGAAGTAGAAAAGGTAAGTGACCCTATTTTTGAAAAGAGAACTGTAAAAGATAAAAGATTATTATTTTTCATTTATATGAGCTGCTCAAAGACTTGTGGCACATTTTTTACTGTTTTAAATAAACTATAAAATAGCAATACTTACCTGAGGAGCAATTCGACTCACAATATGTGAAATCTCATCACTATCTGTGGTATAAATCTGTTTTTTTCTTCCTTTACCTAAAGAAACAATGACATTTCTATAAATTGTAAACAAAACACTTAATTTTTTTTAAAAATAGCTGTCACTTCTTAGAGAATGATTTTAATTAGCATGGTTAGATCACTATACACTCTGACATCACATGAATATTATACTGATGAAACAACATAAAATTCTCAAAAAACATCTGCTGTATCTAAGTTCCAGATATTGTTAGCTGAAATGTTAGTTAAATCTTAATCATTTATCAAATATTTACCCACATAAAAACATTAATAACAAATTACCTAACTGCTTTGTCATTGGAGAATTTTGGTCCCAAAAGATATCATTCAATCCATCTGGATCATTAGGAGAACTGAAGGTAGATGATAATGAATCCATTTTCAGCACTCTCTTTGGTGTTCCATACTTTTCTATGTAAAATAATATAATTCAAAAAAAAAATTATTGTATTTTAAAGTATTATTTTACTTCCTAAACTCCAAAGTCAAATAATAATAGCTTAGACTATATTTTTATAGTCCAATATAAAGTTTTCTCCCAGAGATTAATTTAACCACAGTTGAAATGTGTCACATAAAAATCTATGCAACACTTCAAAAATGTGACATTTTAATTTAAGAATCATCAAGTACTTTTAGATAACTTAGTAAGCTCTATGAATGATATTCCATTCATTATCACTGGGTCTTGGAGTCTTTGGGGAACCACCTGTAATGTACCACTGTTTCAAAAGTCAAATGTATCCCAAAGGAAGTTCAGTAGTCAGTTTAGGCTCCTTTCACCAACTCTATCCAACTTACACTAATTACTTCCAAAAGTATTAGTGATCCATTCCTTGGGAAAGTTTTTCTAATATCACTTTTACATTTCCACAAATTTTTTTTTTTATTCATTTAGGGTAAGGTAACTAAAGTCCTATTTTAAGAAGCAGCTCCAGGAAAAGCTTCTATGTGAGTTTCAGCTCCTGCCAGGGTTTATTACAAGCTTCTGAAGAATGAAACACCAAAAACCGATCAGAACGAAATCTACAGGACCTTAGTTTCCTACTTTGAGGGGATAGTACTCCCCAGCCACTCCTCGGAAGGAAGGTTGGGCAATCCTACTTCCGTAGTGATACTGCCTCGGAAACCCAAGGAGGGGTCGCTATGAGTCGGGTTTGACTCGAGGGCACATAACAACAACAACATACATAGGAATTTCCGTTTTATTCATAAAGAGGCGTGACATTACGAAGACGGTGCGTAAAAATAACAGTAACTTTTCACGTGGCCCGTTCCCAAGGCAAGTCAGAGAAAAGAGTTTAATGGGAAATAATTCCCGTGGAAAAAAGTTGGGGGGAGAGGGCCGCTCAGATATTTCTCCTCGCTCCACCAATGCTGATGACCAGAAGCAACCTAGAAAGTAGCTTCCTTCCCCCAAACAGGTAAACTTCATGGCCCATTCCTGTGCAAGAAAAGTAGTAATCAGTCCTAACGCGGTGGTGCTCAAACTAAGGAAATAAAACCTTGGGAGAGCGGCATTGGGCTATTTTTGGCCTTACGAAAAGAAAAGAAAACACACACACACACACACACACACACACTGCAAGCTCCACTTCCACTCGCTCCCCACATTTCCTTATTGCAAGCTAGGCTGTGGGGCTGCAGCGCCGAAGCCAGAAGAGGCCGCACTGCCGACGTCTCACCCTCAGGGTTACTTTTACTGCAGGAAGCAGCTACTGGAGGCTGCTCTCGCTGCCGCACTGGCAGGAGAGGTCCTTCTCCAGCTCCGTGTAGCCCAGAGCCGCGGGTCGACCTCAGCCGCCTCCTCCCAGGCTCGACCACCAAACTGGAGTCCTCAGCCGCCGCCGTTTTGCGCGGCGAGTCCTTCGGGCCAAGGCCGTCTCCATGTTTCCTTCGCCGATTCATCGCCTAGGACCCCCCTCCACCAGCCGCTTTTCCTTTCATATTTTGCAACTCGAGAAAAAGGACAACGGTATTAAGAATGGATGTCCTCGCCAACGACCGCCGCCATCTTGGCCAGGGGGCACCGCTGCGTAAGAAGGAGCTGCTGATTGGTTGCGTTGGGGGGCGGAGCGGTGCGGGTACCGGAAGTTTGCGTTTCCGCTGCCAGATCTGACGGTGTTTTGGAATGCTCCTGAGTTCAAATCCTCAGGCTTATCCTGGTTGGGATAGATTTTTAGGGTTCGTGGTCTAGCCAGTAGAGCCCTGGTGGTGCAGTGGTTAAACACTCGGATGGTATCCGGAAAAAGTCTGCGGGTCAACCCATCAACCGTTCTGCGGGGGAAAATATTTGGCAGTCTGCTTCCCTAAACACGTATAGCCTCGGAAACTATGGGACAGTTATGCTTTGTCTTACAGGGTCGCTGTGAGCTATGAGTAGGAATCTCCTGGAGGGCAATACTACTTACTGCCCTGGAGTTGGATCCGACTCATAGCGACCCCTCCTTGGGTTTCCGAGGCGGTATCACTACAGAAGTAGATCAGTCTTCCTTCCTAGGAGTGTCCTAGGAGTGGCTGGTGGGTTTGAACCTCCAGCCTTCTGGTTGTTGTTGTTGTTATTTGCCATCGAGTCAGCCCCGACTCATAGCGACCCCTCCTTGGGTTTCGGAGGCAGTATCACTACGGAAGTAGGAATGCCCAACCTTCCTTCCGGTTAGCAGTCAATTTTTTTTGGAGGGGCACCTCCAGCCTTCTGGTTAGCAGTCAATTTTTTTTGGAGGGGCGGGGGGCGGGGTCTGGTAAGCATAGTTGATGAAAATGTTGAGGTAGAAAGAAGATTGGATTCACTAGCATAATTTAATTCAATTTACAGCTAGAAGTGCTCATTCTGGTATACATTATTGTGGGTTTTAGTATTTGTCAAGAAGAGGAAATCAAAAATAAAGATTGGGAAGGAAGAAAAAAAATTTTTTTTTTACACATAGTATAATGTACATAAAACACTTTAAAAGGAATAAATTATTAAAATAAGACTTGTTGAATACAAAGCCAATATTCAAAAATCAATTGTTTCAATATATCATTACGAATTTAAAAGGGAATTTTAAAGGAAATAGATAATACAATGTTATTAGATGTCCTTTGAGTTGGTTGGGAGCTCTGGTGGCATAGGGCCTAAGGCATTTGACTGCTAATGGGAAGGTTGGTGGTTCAAACCCACCAGTGACTCCTCAGGAGGAAGATTGGGCAATCTGCTTCTGTAAAGATACTGCCTAGGAAACCCAAGGAGAGGTCAGTATGAGTCGAATCAACTGTACCACAGTGAGCTGTTTTATTTATTTATTTTAATGCGTTGGTTTTGACTCATAGCAACCATATGTACTATGTACAGCTGAACAGAACAGCTTGGTCCTGCCCCATCCTCACAATGGTTACCCTACTTGAGCCCCATTGTTGCAGCCTCTTTGTCAATCATTTCATTGAGGGTCTTCCCCATTTTCCGCTAACTCTCTACCAAGCATGATATCCTTCTCCAGGGACTGGTCTCTTCTGAAAACATGATCAAAATATGTAAGATGAAGTCTGGTCATTCTCACTTCTAAGGAGCATTCCAGTTGTACTTCTTCCAGAACATACCTGTTTGTTCTTCTGGCAGTCCATGGTATAATTCAATATTCTCTGCCAACACCACAATTCAAAGGCATCGAGTCTTCCTCTGTCTTCTTATTCGTTGTCCAGCTTTCGTATGCATATGTGCCTATTGAAAAGACATTGGGTTGGATCAAGGGCACCTTATTCATCAAAGTGACATCTTTGCGCCATAACACTTTAAAAAGTTCTTTTGCAGCAGATTTCCCCAACACAATACTTATGTTCTTGATTGCTGCTTCCATGGGCATTGATTGTAGATCTGAGTATATTGAAATGTTTGACAACTTATCTTTTCTCCATTTATCTTGATGTTGTTATTGGTCCAGTTGTGAGGATGTTTATGTTGAGGTGTACTGAAGGCTGTATAGTCTTTGTCATCAGTAAATACTTCAAGGCTTCTTCACTTACAGCAGGCAAGGTTGTGTCATCTGCATATTTCAGGTTGTTAATGAGTCTTCCTCCAATAATACGTTCTTCTTTGTATAGTCTAGGTTCTCAGATAGCTGCTCAGCATATACATTGAATAAGTATGGTGAAAGGTACAACCCTAATGCATACCCTTTTTTATTTTAAACCATACCACATCCCCTTGTTCTGTTTGAACAACTGCCTCTTGGTCTATGTATAGATTCCTCATGAGCACAATTAAATGTTCTGGGATAATGTTCTTTGCAATCATATTCCATGATTTGTTTTGATCCACACAGTCAAGTGCTTTTGCATAGTCAGTAAAACACAGGGAAACATTTTTCTGTTATTTGCTTTCAGCCAAGATCAATCTGAAATCAACAGTGATAGCCCTTGTTCCACATCATCTTCTGAATCCAGCATGATTTTCTGGCAGTTCTCGATCGATGTGCTGCTGCAACTGTTTTTGAATTATCTTTAGTAAAACTGTACTTACTTGTGACATTAAAGATATTGTTCAATAATTTCCACATTCTGTTAGATCACCTTTCTTTGGAATGGGTACAAATATGGATCTCTTCCAGTCTGTTGGCCTGGTAGCTGTCTTCTAAATTTCTTGGCATAAATGAATGAGTGCTTTTTTGAAAACGTCCCATCCATTTTTTGAAACGTGTCAGTGGGTATTCCATCAGTTTGTGGAGCCTTATTTTTTGCCAATGCCTTCAATGCAGCTTGGATGTTTTCCTTCATTACCATTGGTTCTGGATTGTATGCTACCTCCTGAAATGATTGAATGCTGACCAACTCTTTTTGGTACCCCAAATCCAAGCCAAACTCACTGCCGTCAGGTTGGATCTGACTCATAGTGACTCCTCCTTGGGTTTCTGAGCCAGTATCACTATGGAAGCAGATTGCCCAATCTTCCTTCTGAGGAGTGGTTGGTAGGTTTGAACTGCCAGCCTTCTGGTTAGCAGTCAAGTGCCTTTAGGCACTATGCTACCAGAGCTCCTATTTTGCTCATAGAATCCTTCAATATTGTAACTCAAGGCTTGAATTTATTCTTCAGAATACAAAACATCAAATAACTAGGGGTGAATTTAACCAAAGATTATAACATCCTGCAGTGCAGTGAATTACTTAATATGGTCCTTCTAGTCATAGTTCTCCATTTTGTGGTGTATTGTAAATCTTAGCCTCTATGCTTGTGGTTATGGTCCCATTTTGGGGTGAGTTGTCTGTTATGTTAATGAGGCAGGATTAGGGTAGGATTTATCTTGCGTTCTACTTTTGTAGAGCGTGTGACTCAAGTCACCACCCTTAGTTTCCTTGAGGGTATGTATATGAATGCTGTGGCAAAGTTTGCCATCTTGCTGTAGATCCTGCATCTGATTTGCTGTCATCTCACCCTGGTTCCTGGAGTTTGAGGCAGCAGCCAGCATCTGACCTGCTGATTTGGGTTCATCAGCCCCTGCAACCACATGAGTAAGGAGAGATCCTCCAGACTGATGCCTGACCCACAGATTTGGGACTTGCCAGCTTCCACAACTATATGAGCCCTTGCAGTTCATGCATTCTGTGAGATATTAAATGAAATATGGAAGCCTAACTCTGAAGGCAGAGTACTGAGGAGAGGAAGAGAAGTTAATGTTAGAGATGATGTGGTAGTACAGCAGTTTGGAAAAGTTGGACCTTTGGGACATCTTTGTACCTTGTGCTTATCCTTCTAAAAGAAGTTATTTGAGCAGTTGGTGTCAGATGGTGGGGTTCACTTCAATGCCTAGACTCACTAGAATATATACTTTTGGAAAAGAAGGGATAAGTGGGAGAATGAGAAATCTTTGCTTTTTGGATGGGATTAAATAAATAAATAAATAAATAAATAAATACATCCATATATTGCATCAGAAGGAAGATTGGGCAATCTGCTTCTGTAGAGATATTGCCTTGGAAACCCAAGGAAGGGTTGCTCTGAGTCAACGCAACTCGATGACAGTGAGTTTTTATTACATTGCAATCAGTTACCCAAAACAAAAGCTATTCATGGGTTTCTGAGTGTTGGATCTAACTCCTGAGGAATTGGCTAGTTGGATGCATATGGAAATATAAAGCAGTAAGGTAAGGGTGAGGTATATAATTCCTTGGTTACTATTATTGGTAATAGCTGCAATGACAGTGACAAATAATTTAGGGCAGACTGTAGCCCTGAACTAAACCAAGATCAGGTCTAGTCAAAGTTATGGCCACTAGTCTCAGGGCCTATGCAGAAAGGAAGAATTGTGTTGAAACAATAGGAAGTACCCCTACAAAGCTGACCACCAAAAAGATAGTTTGGAAAGGGTGCAAAATAAAAAAAAATTACTGAAACCGGAGGGTATAGTGTAAAGCAATCCAAGAAGCTGTGTCAAATCTGTTGGCAGAGCTTTTCCACATAGGTCTTAGAGATGCAAGAAACAAGGATGATTTGTAGGAGAATGGGAAGAGGAAGTGAGGAAAGAGCTTAACTCAGCATGTTGGAGATTTTTAAATGATTACTAAAAAAATGGATGAATACAGTGGGCATTGATGGAGTTGAGACAAAGGTGCTAATGCAGCACTACAGGAAGTTGGGTGGACCAACAGAAACTGCTGCAAGTCCCCTAATGTTAAAGGGGACTAAACAAGCCTATTCTATTCACTCCAATTTGGGGTGGGTGGTAATTTAGTGATGGGAAGTCCTACCTGGGACCATATGAAGCAGAGACTCAGCTAGTTGATGAAGATAAGGACTGACAAGGGAACAAAGGTCTTCTGGTCCATCCCTCAGCAGGGAACATGAGACCATATACACATGTGTGAGTAAAATGACGCAGGGGTAGGGAAAAGATCTTGTTGGGGCTCCTAGACAGAGGAACCCAATATATTGTCAT